TTTTTTTTTTTTTTTTTTTTTTTTGGCTGGGACCTTCCCTGGTCCTTGCACGGCCGGGCCGCCCGGGAAAATAGCGTGACCAGGGCAGCCCGGTTGATAGTCTAGCTTTTTTTTTTTTTTTTTTTTAACACACGGCCACCGCTTAACTGACCGGCCCCAGGTAATTTAGAATTGTTTTGTTCTGCTGATTTAATTGTGACTGGATTTGAACCACCGGTAGTTTGTCTTGGGCACTGGGCTACCGGTAGTTTGTCTTGGGCACTGGGCCCGTTGTGGGTCTGTATTTCAACAATTCGTGGGTGTACCAACTACGCTCGGCTACTTGGTTTTATTCTTCTGTTGCCTTTGGCACTGGGCCCGTTGATTATGAACAAAAATAACAAGACGACAAAGAAAAAGGAAAAAAAAAGAAAAAGCCTACTGAAGAAAAATAAAGCATTTCATTCATCTCATCTTCTCTGAAGCTTTTTTTTTAATTTGCGATGATCAAACTCATTTCTTCATGTGATTACGGCCGCGGCACTAGTTTGTCCCGCATGAACCTAGCCAGAATCTGGAGCAGATACAGGCAAACAAGCTACCAACCCGGTCCAGATAACGATCACGTTCATCCTAATTCACAGTTATCATACACGCGTCGCCTTCAACATTTTTATCTTCTCTCTTTTTCAGTTTGCCGTAAATCACCTCGTTTGTTTATGTCATTACGACCATGGCACTATTTCGTCCCGCATGAACCTAGCCGGAAACCGGACCAGATACATGCCAAAAATTTAACATCAGGTCCAAATAAAAAACACGTTCATCGTAATACCCAGTTATCATAGACGCACAGCCTTCAACGTTGTGTTTTTTTTTTGTTTTTTTTTTTAACGTCCTTCTCTCGTTTTCGATTTGCGGTAATCCGACTCGCTTCTTTTTTTTTCCCACTTCAAATTGAAACTTACATACGCCAACGGCCCTAGCTCACTTGGTACACCCATTGACTGCTCAAATGCAGAACCTAGCCGGAAACCAGACCAGATACATGCACAAAAATTACCATCAGGTCCAGATAAAAAGCACGTTCATCCTAATTCGCAGTTGTCATAGACGCATAGACTTCAACACTCTCCTTTTTTTCTCCTCTTTTTTTTTTTTAATTCTCCTCCTCTCATTTCGATTTGCGCTAATCCGACTCGCTTTTTTTTTTTCCATTTCAAATTTAATTATTTAAAACTTGAAAATACGCCAACGGCCCTACTGTCTTCACCCGAATACAACTTACGGTCATTATAGCTGTATTTTTGACGCAACTTATAGTCTAGATGCAGCAATAATGACCGTACGTTGTATTCGGGTCAAGACAGTAGCTCAATTGGTACACCCATGGACTGCTAAAATGCAGACCTGCGTTCGAATCCAGATGGAAGTATATGATACAGTAATAATTCTTGACCTCCCTGTGGCCCGTCAGTTCTAGGATGACATCTCAAGGTCGTCGTCAATCGACAAAAAAAAGGGGGGAGGGGGGGGGGGGGAATTTAAAAAGGACAAGCACAAGTTCATATTTGAAGATCACTCTACGGCATTCACGTCACTTCCATAGCGTTCGGTATCATATTCCTATTAATTGATTAATATAATGTTCTAATTTCATTTCCATTTTTTCTTGCAATGACAAACAAATATTTATTTTCATGTTATTATTTGACGATTTTTTTATATTTTTTTTATTCGCGGTTTTAGATACGATGACCACGAAATGTTATTTCCTGGGCGGATGTATATAGTTCTTTTTTTTATTTATTTTTTTAATTTCAAATAGCTCAAAGATCTATGTTCATTCCTTCCATATATATCTTTGAGCCATTTGATATTAAAATTGTGTTCGTTCATACACAGGTACTTGCCTTGGACATTGAGCCCCGTGAGAATACATGTTTGTATAATTATATTAATTTTGTTCCCGCTGTTTGTCATTATGACAAAAAAATGGGAATGCAATTAATATAATATAATATAATATAATATAATTACAAGCATTTATTCTCACAGGGTTCAATGTCCAAGGCACGTACCTATGAATGAACGAACATACATCTTTAAGCTACCTGAAATTAAAATTTTAAAAAATTATATATCCACCTAAAAAATAACATTTCCTTGCCGCCATGTTCGCTCAATTTTTTGATCATTTTTTTTTTAGCAAAAATTTTAAAAATTATACATCTGTTTTACGTAGGCGCAAATGCATCTTCAAGCCCGCCGAAGGGGAAGGGGG